TTTTATTTTAGCTATGCTTGCCACGGATTGTGTATGTTGTTTCATAATTGTTTTTAATGGTATGGTTTTTAATACTTTAGCACTTGTGCAGTCTTGCTGTTTATTGAGAATCTATAAAATATATGAAAAGCATTGATATAAGACACTTCAAAGAGCTTTTTTCAGAGCCTTTCCTCTTCTAAGTATTATCGAGGTGGATTTGTGGAGCTGTGTTAATAGTACATTAACTTGGACAAGCTTTTATATAATCGAACAGGTGATATTTTGAGGGGTGAGGTCAAACATTTATAAATGAATTCTCTTTAAAAGCTTTTCTGAACTTTTATTCACATCAAATGTTTAATGTTTAGAATCAGGATTAGAAATAATAGAGTTTACCATTTAAGTGAGAGAAAAAACAAACTATAAATCTAATAGTTGAAAGATGTAGCAAAATAACACTGAAATACAGAGATTGCAGGCACACCTGTATCCCTAGTCATGATTTTTAAAATTATTTTTGTGGGACTCTTAGGCATTTGTGGGCCACATTGGCAGAAATCTAACCTGGAATACTTCTTTTCAGGTGAATTCTAAACTGAAACCTCCTTGTATTCTCGGAATGCACATATGTACTAGCCCCTTCTCACAAAATAGCAAATGTGAAAAGGTGGAGCTGTGATCTCTTTGCATTTTGACAAGAGTGCTGGCCTATAATCTTCTCTGGCAATCAGTGAGTATGTAAAGTAGTTCAGCTCTGTGTCTAGTATAAGCTTATATGCAAAAATGTCTTATCTAGAATGATATGGATATCTAACCCTACCAAGTTACTAAATAAAATGAAAAGAATATGGGAAGCAAATATTTTTATTAACAATTTTGAACAAAATAGCCAGGAAAGACTATTCCTCCCATAATCTCTATCAATCTATTATAATTTTTACTCTTATGAAATATAACAACAAAAAATAACATAAGATTCCAGTGTCACAAACTCACTTTAAGGGAAAAGAACAACGCACTAAGACTTACATATGAAAGATAATAAAACTAAAATAAAAAAATAAAATTTGCAAACTTCCCAGTGGCATATCATAAACTTTGGAAATAAAATGTATAGCACTTCTCCTATCGATACTGAAATTATTTAAAGAGCTTAAATCTATTTTCCAATCTGTAGCAAAAAATATTCTGTTAAATCTTTTTTTTTTTGGACTGGCAATCTGCAACAAATTACTTTCACACACTAGAAATTATCTTATTGCTTTGCTTTTCCCTGAGAATGATCAAAAAGCATAGCTTAATAACCTTGACCCCTGAAAAGGGTGGGGAATTAATTCCATGGGGAAAGATTCCCAACCCATCTCAAAATCACTAAATGATACTGATATTCAGCATTTACAAGATTAACTCCAGGGAGTAGAACAGTTTATTGATGATAAAGCTATTGGTGCAACCAAACTGCTTGAATCCCACCCATTTAGTGGGTGAAAGGCTCTCGCTATTACCAACTCAGGGTGAAATGCCATAGTCAAATGCTTGCATTTTAGCGGGCAGGATTGGGGTGTGTATGTGTGTGTTTTTAACATGATGTACCGCCTTCTGAAACAAGATAAAGAATTCTTAGGCCAAAAAAATAAGGTTATATGTAGAAAGATCAGACTTGCCTCAAATGTGATAAAACCTTTATGGCTAGGCCATGAAGGAATTTTGATTGCTCAAAATGTGATCCCCAATACTACAAAGCATTTTCTTTTATGGATAGAAATTGGGATTTGTGTTAGGCTTAGAGAATAATTCTTCCCAAATCCTAAATTTATCCAAAAATTGTATTTATTTTTACACACAGACATAGACACACAGTTCAAAAGGTTCTGCATCATTACTTAAGGTTTGATTTCAAAAGAAGTGTTTTTGATGAGGTGTAGGCTTTAATGCCTATCTTTTTAACAGCAACATTGTTTTCTAGTTTATGCCACAGCTCCCAACAATCAAGACAAGAAAAGCTGCTGTATAGATGTTGTATGTGCATTCTCACATGCTCTGAAGCATCTCTTTGGAATCAATCCTGAAGGAATCCATAGGTGCAGTATTTAAAATATAAAAAACAAGCTTGTTAATAATGGGAAGAAGGGGAGTGGAAGAACCTGTAGCCTGATTCAGTCATTGGTGCTATAGTCCTCCTACACACATGGATTTTAAAATAGCTATTATGTGTTGTAACAGTTAAAGCCATTTATTTCTATGGAAGAAAAAGCTCTTATGACTTTCTGCCAGCTGTCATATGCATTGGTCCAATTTTACTCAGCAAGGATCCCTCAAATGTAGCACACATTCTTTTCATAAAAATCATACCATCACAGGGCTGGAAGGCGTCTTGTCCAACGCCCTGCCCAAGGCAAGAACCCTTATAGTACCATCCCTTCCACCTCTATGATTCTATCCTGGACAAAATGCTGTCCAATCTTTTCTTGGAAACCTCTAGCGACGGAACACCTTCAACTCTGGGAGGCAAGCTGTGTCTAATTCATTAACTGTTTTTAGTCAGGAAATTCATCATTTCCAGGTTGGATCTTCCTCTGGCAAGCTTCCGCCCATTGCTTCTTGTCCATTTCATAGGACTGACAATAGCAATTCCCTAACAATTATCTAGGGAAGAACATGAAGACTGCATTTGAGAAATAGAGAATAAGTTTGGTGTTTGCCAAAGGAAGTTCAGCAGCAGTATGTTGTTCCATAGTCATTTCCCTAAATGCAGTCACTTATTTTCTTTCATGAGACAGCATATTATTTGAGGGGGGGAAAAATGACATTACTGCCATCCTTACTCCCCAAGCCAAAAGTAACTTCAAAATGACATTAAACCTGCTGTAGCTGAACAGGGAACTGGGTATCTATGAAAAAGAAATATGTTTATGTGATTCATGGGGTGAAAGAAAAGATCATGGCCATTCTAAAATAAACAACATATTGAAAATGAGAGGCAGAAAAGTAATACTTCAGTGATAATTCTTGATGAAGTATAGGAAGGTGAAGTAAGGAACTAAGACATGCACAAATGCCAAAAATAACAAAAGAGTTTCTTTCAATACATAAGGAATAAAAAGAAAGTCAAGGAAATGATAGGTCCACTTATGGGAGATGGTAAGATGGTTCTTCTTTGCATGTCTTCATATGAAATGAAAAAATAATCCAACCTATCAAAAGCAGCACCATGGGAGACTCTAGACAAGATGAGACCAGATGGATTACATGCCAGGCTTCTGAAGGAGCTGGCAGACATGATCGCAGAACCACTGAACAAAATCTTTCAAAGATCCTGGAGCACAGGGGACCTACCAGAGGACTGGAAAAGAGCTGGTGTGGTTTTGATCTTAGGTTGCATTAACAGAGGGATAGAATCAAGATCACGTGAAGTAATAGTACCACTCTACAAAGCCTTGGTAAGACCACACTAGAATACTGCATCCAGTTTTGGTCACCCCAATACAAAAAAGATGTTGAGACTTTGGAAAGAGTTCAGAAAAGAACAACGATTAGGGGCCTAGAAGCTAAAACATGTAAAGAAAGATTGCAGGAATTGGGTATACCTAGTCTAGTGAAAAGAAGGACCAGGGGTGGCATTATAGCAGTCTTCCAATAGCAGTGGAACAAATTGCATTCGGAAATTGTGGGTGCCACAACTCTTGATGCTTTTAAGAAGAGACTGGACAGCCATCTATCAGAAATAGTATAGATTACCTGTGAGAGCAGGGGGTTGGACTAGGTGATCTTCAAGGTCCCTTCCAACTCTATTACTATTACAATGTTCAAAAAAGGGAAAAAAGTGGAACCAGGAAACTACAGACCAATCAGCTTATCATCAATACCCAGGGAAATCATAGGAAAGATAATTAAGCAGTGGATTTGTGAGCACTAGAAATGAACAAGGAGATTAATAGAAGCCAGCATAAGTTTGTTAAAAACAGATCATGATAAACAAACCTTATTGCCTTCTTTAATAAAATGGCTAAATGGATTAGGGAAATGATGTGGATATAGTCTGACTGGACGTCAGTAAGGCATTTGACAAAGTAGACTACAGCCTATTTCTTGATAAGACAGAAAAATGTGGGATAGACAGTATGACCACCAGATGGATTCACAGTTGGCTGACCAGGCACACCAAGTATGTAATCCTCAATGGTGCTACATCTACAAGGAAGGAAGGATGCGGAGGGGTACCTGAAGGTTGTCTTGAACTCAGTACACCAGCAGTGTGCTGCAACTGCCCTCCCCCCAAAAAACCAATGCAGCTTTAGGTTGAATCAACAGAGGAATAGCATCAAGATCACAGGAAGTGATAGTAGCAATTTATACAGCACTGTAGGACCACACTTGGAATACTATGTCCAGTTCTGGTCACCATGATACAAAAAAGGTGTTGAATTCCTAGAAAGAGTAGAGAAAAGCAATAAAGACGATAAGGGATCTGGAGACTAAGCTATGTGATAAACAATTAAGGGCAGTAGGTATGTCTAGCCTAATAAAGAGAAGGATTAGGGTTGAAAAAGCTGTCTTCCAGGACTTGAGGGGCAATCACAGAGATGAGAGGGCTCACTTATTCTCCCAAACATCTGAGGGCAGGACAAAAAGCACTGGGAAGAAGCTTGTTAAAGAGAGATCCGACCTGGAACTAAGGAGAAATTTACTGACAGTGAGAACAATTAGCCAATGGAACAGCTTGCCTTCTGGAGTTCTGGATGCTTCATCGCTGGAGGTTGGCAAGAAAAGATTGGACATTCATTTATTTCAGGTGGACAGGGGATTGGACTAGAAGACCGCCAAGGTACCTTTCAGCCCTATGATTCTATGACTCTGTGTTCATTTCCTTTTTTTGTTGCAGAATTCTTTAGATATGCTATTTAGAACCCGTATGGCACATTCCTCTATACTGAACTTTCCATGCAAACTCCCATTAAATGAAATGTAAAAATATTAAGGAATAGTTTTTTAAAAATACATTCAATGCACATTCCAAATGTATAAAAAGATGAAAGTTTATGTATTATCTGTGGGGGGAAAGCAAAAATGAGTAGAGAAAGAATTCATGTGACTTGCCAATCCCAGATAACTTGTATGAAAATATATTTCCTCATTTTTTTATCTAGTGAATGGTATCAATCACATTAAAAAGTTGCCAGCATCCAATGATTTGTCTTGGAAGTTTACAGATGTTCATAACATATATCTTGAAGCCCATCATATTCATTCCAACATAAATGACGATAATCAGTCAATGTTACAAATTTCTCTTTCTGCCACACATACATGCTGGCTACATGCTATGGGACAAAATCTATGGGCAGATAGTGATTGGTTGCCCTGAAATACTGGAGAATGCACAAACAATTTTAACAGTATGTATATATTTGTTATTTTTCTTTTATCTTCACTGAAGTTCCTTGTTAAACAAATTTTATATAAAATTAGTTCTACTGTCAAAGTGGCCTTAAGGTATTGGGGGGGGGGGGACTCCAGCCCACTTCCACCACTGTATAGAAATTAAGATACATTGATGTACATATTACCTGTTAAAGCAAGCAAGAATGCAAGCTTTAATTTATGTGAAACTTACATGGCATGTTTTGAAAAATGTGCTATATGATACAAAGGATTTTGCCAGAAAAGATTAAATGAATGCATAATTTTACTAATCAGTCTTCCATGAAGAGTATTCAGTGAAGAAACACAATCCCAGCTTCATTCCTTTGGAGTTGCAATGAGCATTTTCACTCAACTAAAGAGGGCTTAAAACCCCTTTCTGAGGCTGAGTAAATCACTTTATTAACCTTAGTTCAAAAGCATGCAGGGATAGATGCAGCAACAGCAAACCATCCATACTTTCTTTCTCAATAGGTCATTGATATTACCATTTCACTAGTAAGATTTTGTGTTAAAAAGGGGAATAGCAGCCTAGCAGAACAGCAAAATTATTTCATTTCAAAGAAAACATTCTCTACAATGTTTGCACAGAACCCTGTCACCACAGTGATAAAACGATCTCTGAGTCATTTTCTTTTCCAGCATAAGATAGGCAAGAAAAAAAAAGCAGTGCATTGGGAAAAGACAAATCTAGCTAAGATATCCAATAATCCTCCCTCCTATATTTGAAGGGATCAGCTCATTCTATTAGCATTAATGAAGAGAAGGCTTTTGAGAAAAAAAATATCTTGGGATGAGGATGCCTAATCAAAACATTTAAAAAGTCATAATTAAGGCAGTTTGTTGCATTCCTGCTTTGGCAACATCAATACAGTGAGATTCATGGGCAGATCAGGTTCTGACCGTTAGCCTCTCTTCTGTGCCATATTTTTCTTCTTGGGGATGTGTTCCCAATCCCGCCTGCAGGGAAGTAGGTAAATACAGCACAAACTCCCACCTTTGTTCCAAACATGTTACTAAGTCAGCAAAAACCTTTGCATTTCTGATACTGAGACAAGAAGCAAATTCAAGATTCAAAGAATATGACCACAGATTTAAAGATCTTGCAAAACAGCCCTAGAATGACACAGGCTGAAGTGATTAAATTATTTGCTTCTTCATCCCATGTATATAAGTGTGAAAGGGAAAACTGCAAAGTGACTTAGTGTTGTTTCAGCTCCTTTGTAAAACAGATTTCATGCCAAAGGCACTGGTCCTAGTTGTCACCCAACTCTAATTTTGACGACTGCTTGCCCCCTTAGTGGTTTCATCAAGAGTTTCTTCAGTGACCTCTACATCCTCATCCTTTTTAAGTCCTCTGCGTGGTTTTTTTGCACCAAGAGCATCTTCCTTGATCAACTCTGAAGCAAGTAATGATGTGATTGCACAGCCAACATTTTTGTTTCCTGGAATGACACAGAAGCAAACAAAAACTAAAATATTAAAAAACAAAAAAGTATACACTGAAGATAATGCTGCATAATATACTAGCCATTTTCTCTCAAATACTTTAGTTTATACTTGCTCATAGGAGGCCTGAAGAACTCCACAGAGTTGGGGCAGCTATAATGAAAACTCTATCTGTAGTGAAACACAGTAGACAATTGTGACCCAGAGTGTGGAGCCTTTAGAAAATGGGGACAAAGCAAACATCCCTCCATTTTTCCTAGAACTGATTTTCCTTTGCAATATTTAAACTTATGATTATACATTCAATTAAGAATTGTGGTCAGAAAATATGCAAAGAAATCATTAGAATTGTATGATGGGCTATAGAAAAAAATGACTTCATGAGGACTTTATATTTCAGCAAAATTCTGATCAGACAAGTAACAGCTCTGTATAGCAGCTACACACAAAGGAAAGGAAGGAGAGCGTGGGAGTGCTGATGAGTCTGAGGAAAAGGGGGGGGAGTTAGAACTCAGCTCCCACTGATTCATCTAATAAATCTACAATCACTAGTCAATAAAATGAACTTCTTCTAAATCAGAACAACCTTGCTTTTTGTAACACATCAGTTCTCTGCTTTACAGAAAGTTGGCTCAGTGAGATTATCCTAGATAGTATAGTAGAACTCCCTGGATTTCAGATTCAAAGGGCGGATCAGGTTACAGAGACATTTGGGGGGGGGGGGGAGGGAAGAGAGGTGGTGGAATTTGTTTCTATGTTAATAACCACTGGTGCAAGTACTAAATAAATGTTGTAATATGGACTGAGTCACTATTCATCAATTGTAAACTCTTTTATGCTCTGCAACAGTTTTCCTCATTCACCTTGGTTGGAGTTTATATATCACCCCAGAATTGCATGAGCAGTGCAATACATATTCTAGCAGACCAAACACTCTGCACAGGATGGAAATATCCACACTCCCTACTCATTGTTTTAGGGGATTTTAATAGAGCTAATCTCACTCATGAGTTGCCCAGATACTCAGCATGTTAGCTGTCTCATTAGAGGCAAAAACATATTGGATCATTGCTATATCTATCTCAGTCACTCGAGCCCACCCACCCACTTCTCATAATCCTGGAAAAAGATGCGCAATTCTATTTCATAGGCAGAAGATCAGAAAAGCTCCAGGCCCGGATGGAGTGACTCTTTCTTGCTTGCCCATCTTCATTCAGATTTTTAATAAATCACTGGAGATGTGTTACGTCCCTTCATGCTTTAAACTGTCTACCATCATCCCAGTTTCTAAGAAATCTTCCATCAGGGAGCTGAATGTCTACAGATTGGTTGCTCTGATATCTGTAGTCATGAAGACCTTTGGGAGGTTAGTGCTGGCCAAACTGAAAGTCATCATGGATCTGGATAGACCCCTTGCAGTTTGCCTACTGATCAAATAGGTCAGCAGACGATGCTGTCAATATGTCATTACACTACATTCTGCAACATCTTGAATCTCCAGGGATCTATGCATGGGCCCTTTTTGTGGACTTTAGCTCAACGTTCCAGAAATTCCAGAAATTCTCTACTCTGAGTTAATCCAGCTTACTATACCTGCTCATATTTGTAGGTAGATAATCAGTTTTTTGACAGATAGGATGCAACAGGTGAGGCTAGAGAAAACTACATCTAGTACCTGGGCAATGAGTACAGGCGACCCTCAGGGCTGTGTGCTCTCTCCGTTACTCTTTTCTTTCTATGTCATGACTGCACCTCAAGGAACCCTCCATTAAAATTCTGAAGTTTGCTGACAATACAACAGTCATTGGCATCATTCAAGATGATGATGAGTTTGCATATAGACGGGATGTTGAAGAACTGGCCCTGTGATGCAGCCATAACAATCTGGAGCTGAATATGCTTAAAACTGTAGAAACGAGAGTGGATTTTGCCACTTCTTACCTTATTTGACAGCACAATATCAGCAGTAAAGTCCTTCAAATTTCAGGTTTCTATAATTTCCCAGAACTTGAAATGGACACTTAACATTTTTAACATTAGGACTATCTTTAAAAAGGCAAGAATCTTCTTCCTGTGTCAACTCAGGAAGTTCAGACTACCCCGGAGCTGTTTATAGTTTACAGAGGAATTATTGAACTGTCCTATGTTGTATAACAGTGTGGTTTGGTTCAGCAACCAAACAGGACAGGTACAGATTCCAATGGATAGTTAAGACTGCAGAAAGAATAATTGCAACCAGCTTGTCTTCTATAGAAGGCCTGTATATTGCATGGATCCGAAGGGCTGAGAAGGTATCTGCAGACTGCTCATATCCTGAACATAAACTGTTTCAACTTTTCTCCTCAGGATGGCGATACAGGGCACTGCAGGCCAAAACAACTAGACACAGGGACAGTTTTTTCCCTCAGGCCATCACTCTGCTGAACATCTAATTCTCACAGTGCTATCTAAAGTCTATGCGTATTAACACAAGTAATATGTCTGTAGCATTATTATTTATCCTTCTTATTATCTCTCTTACTACCCCCTCTTATTGGCATTATAATCATTATAATTATTCTGTTGCTTTGCATGTATATTAAGAACTTCTGCACCAGAGACATATATTAATTTTCCATGTTTACAGTCTCAAAAGAATGCCCTGCTGACCATATTACAGCCCTTTATAAAATATATTTTTATTATATCAAACTATTGGAGAGGAAAAAAAATACCCAGGACATCATTGCCAATATAATATGTAGCATTAAAATGTTTTGTCACAATAATAAAAAAGAAAAAAACCTGGAAATCTACAGCAGATTTAATACTAAGTTTATTTTCTTTGCTGGAAACCCCTCTCCCTCAAATATACTATTGCATATCAAGCACAATTTTTTTTTTCAGAATTAGTTCAATCTCTAAACATTCTACCGTAGATTTTTTTATTCTGATGGTAGATTTCAAATACTGGGAATACAGCCAAAAAGAACATACAGATCTTTATATAATAATAGAATAGAGCTGGAAGAGACCTTGGAGGTGTTCTAGTCCAGCCCCCTGCTCAAGCAGGAGAACCTATACCATCTCAGACAGGTGATTCTCCAGTCTCTTTTTTTAAAAAAACTTCCAGCTATGGAGCGCCCACGATTTCTGGGGGTAAGCTGTTCCACTGGTTGATTGTCCTCACTGTCAGGAAATTTCTCCTTAATTCCAGGTTGCTTCTCTTTTTGATCAGCTTCCAACCATTGTTTCTCGTCCTTCCCTCTGGTGCTCTGGTGAACAACCTGACCCCCTCTTCTTTGTGGCAGCCCCTCAGATACTGGAATACTGGTATCATGTCTCCCCTATTTCTTATTTTCTTTAGACTAGCCAAACCCAAGTCCCGCAGCCGTTCTTTGTATGTTTTAGCCTCCAGGCCTTTGATCATCTTAGTTGCTTTTCTCTGAATTTTTTCTGAACTCTCAACATTTTTTTTTATGATATGGTGACCAAAATTGGCTGCAGTATTCCAGGTGTGTCTTACTAGATCTTGATTCTATGCCTCTGTTTATACAACCCAGGATTGTATTAGCTTTTTTGGTTGCTGCTGCACACTGCTGGCTCATGATCAAGTGATCGTCCACTAGGACTCCAAGATTCCTTTCATAGTTACTGCTTTTAAGCCAGGTCTCGCCCAATCTGTATTCGTGCGTTTGGTTTTTCCTGCCTAAATGTAGGACTTTGCTTTTCTCCACGCTGAAACTCATTTTGTTGGATAAGGCCCATTGTTCCGAGTTTGTCAAGATCTTTTTGGATCCTGAGTTTGTCTTCTGGGGTATTGGCTATTCCTGACAGTTTGATGTCATCTGCAAATTTGATGAGTTCCCCTTCAATTCCCTCGTCTAAGTCATTTATGAAGATGTTGAAGAGTACTGGGCCTAAGACAGAACCTTGTGGTACCCCACTGCTTACTTGTCTGCATGTGAATGTAATGCCGTTGAGGACTACTCGTTGAGTGTGGTTTGTCAGCCAGCTACAGCTCCATCTGGTGGTGATGTTGTCTATTCCACCATTTTCTAGCTTGTCAATTAGTAGGTTGTGGTCTATTTTGTCAAATGTCTTACTGAAATCTAAGTATACTACATCCACTTTGTCCCTTTCAAAAAAGCATTATCCTCTTGATATCAGCCCTACATGCAATAATAGTAGAATCAGAACGTAGTAATGAATGTTCTAAAATGATTCTGGAAATTCTTTTGTAAACATTATTTTATATGGCCAGTACTCACAAAATAATGTTAAATTCATAAGATACTACTTTTCTATAGAATAGAATATTAATTTTCTATGGTTTAGGAGGTACGTTAAATTTTTCAAAAATCTCCAACAGTGGATATAGATCACATAGGTTACATAACAAATGTTTAAGTTTATAAATTACCAAGAAGCACTCTGAGGTAAATCAAATTTATATTTAAATTTTTTTCAAAATTTTGAAATCTTGAAAACTGACATAATTCAAAATATCCCATTTATTCACGTTGGATTTATTCCTTCTTTCTGTTGTGCAGGCAATGAACCTGATGATTTGCCTGATTTCCAAGAACTTCCTGGAAAGTCTTATATTAAACAAATGAATCACAACAGAACCTAACCTCCCAAGCTTAAACTTAGGAAATTATTCTTATTTCCCAGTGGCATTAAGTCTGGTGTATTCTCATTTACAGTATAAGCAGACAGGGTATCAAATTTCTGTGCTGATACCTTAACAACATGATCTGCTGGAATTTCAATCATGTTTTCAGAATTTCTAAGTATATAGTATAGGCAAAAGGTTTTAAAGATAATAATGTCATGTAATGCCAGATAATATTATAATATAAGTATATGTGTTACAGATTAAAGGTAAATAACTTCTAGACTTCTGGTTTTCCCCATTTTTATTACCTACAATTTTGTTTCTTTTCCCAAAATCATTGCCTCATGCAACATAATTAAATTTCTATTTTGGAAAAATAATCTTAGGGTATTAGTATTTTACAAACCACAGTAGTCAGCAGTATAGGAGATCAGGGGCACATTGGAATACAATGATGTGCAAGCTCATTGCTTATTACTGTCATGCAAAATGAAGAGTTTTATTTGAATGGCCCCTATTCTGGCCATATTTCTTAATTTCTATAAAGCCTGTATGTTTAGCCTGCACTTCTATTAAGTAGCTTAAAATAATGTGCATGGGCTTTCTCCATTTTATCCCAAGAGCTGCTATTTTGGGCCAATGATTGATACTGAATTTTATGGATAAACAAGATTTGACTAATCTGATCCAATAACTAAATTCTACATTACATTATACAGTATATTATGTATGAACTACATGGTAAAGACATCAAAGTTTTGTTATCTTCAAAAGGCAAGTGGATTTTTTTTGTCTATTCAATTCTGTCTTCCACACCCCAAAACCTAGAGTTGGTTCACAATGGTATTAAGAAAAATGATTATTTCAAACTTGCTTTGAAGACATTTGAACAAAACCATACCTTGGCGTGGTCCTCTTTTTCTACGGAAGGCTGCACCTGACTGTAAGGCTTCTAGTAGACTGTCCATAACTCCTGTCTCATCTCCTTCTGCAAGAACAAAAAATAGAGATTTCTTGTTATTTTCATTGGCACCTCCTTCTAAGGAGTAGCATTATGGACTCAAGACTATGGTTGTTCTGGAATGTGTATTGTATGTAGAAAAGAGAATAAAATTGTCATTAAAGTATTTCTTGATAAAAATGAAGAAGTCCTGGTCGTGTATGAAAATTTACTATGTGAAGACAACAATACACAAAAGTTTTTCTCAAGATATTTTCCTTTGTCATAAATTGGGAGAAAACTTTTAAAAATGAGAATGTACAATGGAGGGTTTAAAGAAGATTTTTAAAAAAATTCTTCCTGGAAAAGTTTCTGAGGCATTTTTCCTTTGATCTATTTATTTGTTATAAACACATAATTCCAATTTGGATATAAAGCAGGGATAACAAAGAAAAATTCCTTATAACATTTCATCTCTTCCTTTATGTCACAGATTTTCTGCTTTAATAGTACAACTATGGTATTACTCTGATGCCTTGAAATCATTAGTACCCTGAGGGTTTTTTTTTTAGAGCTATACATTTTCCACTGATCTACTTTTTACTTTACACAGCTGTCAGAGTATTAAGACTGGCTGAAACAGCCAGTTAATATTGTTTCCCTAGCAACAAGCATATTCATCTCAAAAACAGGAAAAGTAAGAGTATCTACATTTCTCCTATGATGAAGACTATGTTTTGCCAATTCCTTCTTCTGCTGGACAAGAAGCCGAGCCTCTCTGGGGACAACCATACCCTACAACCAAGTATTTACTTAAATGCAATCCCAAAGGGGCTTTTTCAAGAGGCAACTGGACTTTCTTGTTTTTCTTTGAAGACCTTTCGCTTCTCATCCAAGAAGCTTCTTCAGCTCTGACTGGATGGTGGGGAATAGAAAGATTTATACTCTGCAGACAGCTGATCATTTGCATTCTTTTAGTGAGCCATTAAAGCTAATTGGAAGCTTATCTGTGTCTTCAGGGTCACCTGAGTAGTGCAAATGGATGTGGAGCCTTCCTGGAACTGCTGAAAGGACTGTGTTGTAGATTGGAGATAGATGATGTCGGATCCCTCCCCCTCAGTTGAGGAAGGGCTGTTCAGTTTTGACATCGATGGCCTCTTTGACCCCTCTTTCAAACTAGCAGTCTTCTCTGTCCAAAATGTGGACTTTGCTGTCTTCGAAAGAGTGGCTTTTGTCTTTTAAATGCAGATGGACTGCTGACTCCTATCCTGATGGTTTTTTCTCTTATGTTGTGCCATACATTTATGAAGTTGTTGTTTTGTTTCCCCAATGTACAAATCTGTGCATGGCTCACTGCATTGTACTGCATATACCACGTTGCTCAGTTTGTGTCTGGGTATTTTATCCTTGGGGTGGACTAGCTTCTGCCTTAATGTTTCTTAGGTTTGAAGTGCGCACCTCAGGAGGATCTTCAACCAACACATCATACGTGTGCACTTCAAACCGAAGAAACACTAAGGCAGAAGTAGTCCACCCCAAGGATAAAATACCCAGACACAAACTGAGCAACGTGGTATATGCAGTACAATGCAGTGAGCCATGCACAGATTTGTACATTGGGGAAACAAAACAACAACTTCATAAATGTATGGCACAACATAAGAGAAAAAACCATCAGGATAGGAGTCAGCAGTCCATCTGCATTTAAAAGACAAAGGCCACTCTTTCGAAGACAGCAAAGTCCACATTTTGGACAGAGAGGACTGCTAGTTTGAAAGAGGGGTCAAAGAGGCCATCTATGTCAAAACTGAACAGCCCTCCCTCAACTGAGGGGGAGGGATCGATCTCCAATCTACAACACAGTCCTTTCAGCAGTTCCAAGAAGGCTCCACACCCATTTGCACTACTCAGGTGACCCTGAAGACACAGATAAGCCTCCAGGTAGCTTTAACCACTCCCTAAAAGACAGCTATCTGCAGGAGTATAAATCTTTCTATTCCCCACCATCCAGTCAGAGCTGAAGAAGCTTCTTGGATTAGAAGCAAAAGGTCTTCAAAGAAAAACAAGGAAGTCCAGTTGCCTCTTGAAAAAGCCCCTTTGGGACAACCATGACCTGGATGACCGAGAATCTCCATAGATACTTAAATGCAGGCTTAAGAAAAAGAACAAATGGGTTTAAACCATAACTTGGCATCTCTTTCAACAGAAGCAAGAAAGCCAGGGCTATCTTAGAGGGCAGAGAAGTACATGTGATAAAAACTATTGGTGTGTGTGTGTGTGTGTGTGTGTGTGTGTGTGTGTGTGTGTGTAAAATATTTGAAAATAAAATTATTCAAGGTCTTTAACAGACTCTACAAATATACATTTAAAAGTCCCTGAAAAATACAATACTTCCTATTCCATTTGAATGTTTGCCTCCCCCAACTCTCATCAACCTGGCACTGAATGTGTTAACTGCAACTTCATGAGCAGCTTGCAAAATCTGGTTTCCATAGTAACAGCTCCTGACAAAACATAAACCTATAAAATCACATTAGAACATCTGCTGGGGTTTAGGTAGACTAAATCCATTGTTTGTACTGCCACCTGCTGGTCAACATAAATGGCTAAGTGTTACCAATCCATTCTGGAAGCCCTTAATTAATGCGTTCAAGAACAGCAAACGAAAATGCAGAGAAATTGCATTTTCCCCCCAACTCCATCAAAAAGAGACCATGGCATGGTTAGGAAAAGGAAACAGGCCCCAATTACAGATAGTTCCAACAGTGAATTATGAAGCACCGTTTTACAGCACTGGAATTAAAAGGCATATACAATGCAGCTGCTCATTTCCCATTACTTAAGCAAAGGAAGCAAACTCCTTTCAGTGTATGTAGGATAGATATTTTGAAAGCTATGTTTAGCCTTACATTTACGTGTGTGCATACTCACACTCAGTAGTTTTGCTGATGCAACCTCATGTGGAACATCACATAAATCAGACATGTCAAACTCGTGATGTCATGTGACATCGTGTGACATATCGGGACTGTTTTGCCATTGCCGGCAATGGGGTGGGCCCGGCTTCCGCATGACACGTCCGTCGGGCCAGCAGTTTGACACCCCTGACATAAATGACGTAATTGTACAAGAAATGACAGATCAAGTTGCTAGTTTTGTGATCTCAATTACTGTCTTTTTAATAAAAATGACCAGGTGACAACAAGTTGGCAATGTATTTGTATACATTCACATCCCCAAATCTTATCTCACTACTTTTAGAATCATATTGTTCAGGGAATACAGCTTGGGCATCTCCTGAAAGAAATGATACAAAGGAGTTTGGAACCATCTGGCAATCAAAAAGAGCCACATGATAGATGATGGGAGGCAGCTAAATAGGCATCCCATCTACTTGTTAACACATTTGAGGAAAAGTCAGTCATATTACTCCCATATTTTTCACTCTTGCTCCTCCATCTTGATTACCTAACCTGCATTTTGATTTGGGCTTCCCTGTGAATAGCTCTGGGAAGTGGGGGTGGGAGGGGGGGGGAATATTGTAATCTTTATAAAACTTTTAATAATAATAAAAAAGAATAAATTTGGTCCTTAAGGATCAGAGTAAAAAAAAAACCCCAGAAAATTATTATTATAACACAGGGCAAGGATTTTAAGGCTCCATCCCTAAAGTTAAAAAAAAAGGGTTGGAGCAAAAGCAGAGGAAAAACCCCTCCCCAGAGAAATAAAGATGTGTCACCACAAGCAGTGAGGAATAATTGTGCCAGAATGGGAATGGTTCTGTGAAGCTTACGGAGCCTTTCCTTAACTTTGCCAAGTGCAGATACTTTGCAGATATATTAAACATTGCAGTGTTCTACCGCAGCAACTCAAGACAAGGTTGTGGGGGAAGGGGAAAAGAATGTGAAGAAAACCAAATGGCATGTCATTTAGCACAACTTCAAGCAACTCAAAAGGAGACAGAAATGGCAGGAAATTGTGGGAGTCAGGAAATAGAGAAGTATGGTAATTGAGTCCGTATGTTCCAAGAAAAGGGTAGCCAGGTTTTTTGTTGCAGTAAAAAAAGAAAAGAAAAGCCAAGAATCCTATGGCATCTGAAACACTAATAAATGTATAATCACAAGCTTTTGTGCTTCTAGGCCACTTCATCAGATGCATGAAGAAAAATCTTGAGAGAGGGATTGCCTATGTATGCAGAATTAATTATTAGGGGAGAGGAGGGGAAGAGGAGGGGGAGGGACAGAAGAGGCAGGATTGTATCAAGGGAGACAAGGAAACAAAGCAGCTTTAGATATTAATAAGTAACAGTAAAAGTAGAATACCTGTCAGATTTTTGCAGCAAAAGCAACAGATCTTTATCATCCCAAAGTCCATTAAATCTAAGTAAAGGAATGTATTCGGCAGCAAAAATATCCATATGTACAAGAAAATAGCATAAAATGGAATACTGTAATCCAGAAGATTTGCCTTTTGAAAAGGGCCATTTAACGTAAGAACCAGAATCTCCCAAATCTGCACTAATATGTGAAGATGCAGTCAATTATAGGTAGTCCTTGACTTATGCTCGTTCATTCAGAATTGTTTGAAATTAAGACAATGCTGAACCAAAGGAATTACAACCGCTGCCTGAAGTAACGGCCATTGAAGCACCCAGTGGTCACATGATCAAAATTTGGCCGCTTGTGAACATGCACACTCTTATGACTGTGGGCATGCTGCAACTCACCTAGCCTGCCTTTCTCCCCCCCTCCCCAATCTAGGCTGCTTTGCAGACCAGCGCTCAACCACAGCGTGAGGCCTAGGGCCTTCAGCAGTCTCAGCCAGCTCCCATTGCCACAAGCTTCTGCTTCAGTCTTAATGCTGCCACTGCCATCCACAGATGCCATTTTGTGCAACTGATCAGAGGCAGCTCCTGCTCACATCAGGCTTTCTTTCCCAGAGACTGTGCAGAGCTTCTGAAGCCTTTAGAAATTCCAGAGTTTGTATGCAGTCTCTGAAAACTTTGGAATCCCAGTGCAACTTCAACAGGCTTTGGAAGCTTCACATGATTTGGGAAGCCTTGGGAGGCTGCATGCAAACTCTTAAAACAGAGCCTCTGAAGCCTTTCAAAGTCATGCCGGGTTTCTAAAGTTCTGCCGGGACTCCAGAGCTTTCTGAACCCTCATACAACTTCAGAAGGTTTTGGAGGGTCTGCAAGAGTTTACACAGAGCTTCTAAAGGCTTCCTGAACTGCATAAGTTGAAGCGTCCCCAAGTCAGGCTGGGCTTCCAGAGCCTTAGGAAGCTTTCAGAGGTTCTGTGTAAACTCTCATGGAGTCTCCAAAGCCTTCCAAAGTTGTGGTTTCTGGAGTTTTCAGAAGCCCTGCACAACTTAGGAAGCCAGATCTTCCATACAAGAATTCCAAAGAATTTGGAAGCTACGCACAAATAGGCTCTGGGAAACAAGGCCTGTGTGCAACCAACAACTGCCTCTTGTATAAGAACCCCTCAGCAGCAGGAAAGAAATGCCTGAAAATAAGTGTGCAGCAGATCCTCAAGAATGCTGGGTAATGGTGTGACGCGACATTTATGAGTGGCAGCAGTGGCAGCAGTGTTGATGTGACAACTGGTTGAGGTTGCTAATGGCCCTAGGCATTTACTGCCCAGCCCCAAGACACCCAGCACTCCACTTAATGACCTGCATGATCACAACCTAGGAGTGCCAGAATTGCAGACATTGAGGGAAGCCGTCATGTCAATGCCTCAACTTATGACCACAACTTACAACTAAAATTCTGAGCTCAGGGGATACCTTGCTCAATAATAGTAACTGTGAGAGGGACCTCGGAGTCCTAGTGGACAATCACCTAAATATGAGCCAGCAGTGTGCTGCAGTGCCAAAAAGGCCAACACAGTGCTAGGCTGCATTAACAGAGGGATAGAATCAAGATCACGTGAATACCACTTTACAATGCCTTGGTAAGGCCACACTTGGAATACTGCATCCAGTTTTGGTCACCACGATGTAAAAAAGATGTTGAGACTCTAGAAAGAGTACAAAGAGCAACAAAGATGATTAGGGGACTGGAGGCTAAAGCATACAAGGAACAGCTGCTGGAATTGGGTATGTCTAGTTTAACGAAGAGAAGGACGAGGGGGGACATGATAGCAGTGTTCCAATATCTTAGGGGCTGCCACAAAGAAGAGGGAGTCAGGCTATTCTCCAAAGTGCCTGAAGGCAGGACAAGAAGCAACGGGTGGAAACTAAGCAAGGAGAGAAGCAACCTAGAACTAAGGAGAAACTTCCTGACAGTTAGAACAATTAACCAGTGGAACAACCTGCCTCCAGAAGCGGTGAATGCTCCAACACTGGAAGTTTTTAAGAAGAGACTGGACAGCCATTTGCCTGAAATGGTATAGGGCAGGGGTAGGCAACCTTGGCTCTTTTATGACTTGTGGACTTCAACTCCCAGAATTCCTGAGCCAGCATGCTGGCTCAGGAATTCTGGGAGTTGAAGTCCACGAGTCATAAAAGAGCCAAGGTTGCCTACCACTGGTATAGGGTTTCCTGCCTGAGCAGGGGGTTGGACTAGATGACCTCCAAGGTCCCTTCCAACTTTACTATTATTATTATTATTATTATTATTATTATTAGTCAAAGTCAATTAAAAATATCAATTGAAAATGTTAATATAAGCCAATGGACCCACAGAACACAGCCTTCATTAATGACTTCCAAAAATAAGGCAAAGGGAATGTTCATTGCAATATGAAAATAAGATCCTGAGAAATCTGATTAATCTGTTTTTTATCAATTAGACAAGCATTGTGTAATGTGCTTGCATTTATACTACACAATGTACTAATACTATGTACTAAGAGTCATACTCTAAAAAATGAACAGTGACAGTTTCATAATTAAATTAAATACAAGAATTAACTATATTTCATAGATAAAAACTTTTGCTATATATGAACATGGTAATCATGTATCAAAAACTGCATTCAAATAGTTTATTCCTATACTAATACTAATTTATGCCTTAAATTTCTATTATATAGCATGTATAGAATTGTATGGAAATAGAGCAGTATAATACACAGCACATATTAAGTATGCTTCAAGAGGAGGTTTTGTTATGCATTTTCCATCTTTCAAACTTGTATTTTTTTGGATTTTCAAACATGAATTAGTGCAGGGGTGTCAAACTGCCAGCCCGTGGGCCGGACGCATCACGTGGAAGCTATGCCCACCCCATTGCCGGCAATGGCAAAATGGGCCCGATACGTTGCGTGACGTCACATGACGTCGCGAGTTTGACATGCCTGAATTAGTGGATGGATATGTGTATGTCTGTATACAGTGTAGCTTACCATAAAAATATTTTTAATTAAAACTATTTGTCCATCTGGAAGCATCTTTAAACACTACATATACCTGCAAGATTAGGGAATTTGAAAGTGAGATAAAAATATACAGATATATGTCTGTCAGTCTAAGAGATGAATATATGTATTCATGTATATGTACAGAATTACTCCATCTCTAAATATCAACTGCTAGGTGACAAAGAATATAGAAATTGTTATGGTCTCCATATCCCTTTTGAGCGCTTTCTGGAGCAGTCTGGACACAATTGTACAGGATTTATTTTGGGCTCTGAAGCCATATGGCTCACAATTTTGTCCACATTACATTTACATATGCCACATTCATGCATCCTTTCTCTCCAATTAATGTCTTCCACGAAAAGCAGACTTTAAAAATACCAGTAGTCCTTGACTTATGACCAGCTGCTCAAAATTTGAAATTATCATTTGAAATTATTAGATTCCAAAAAAGGGAGTTATAATCCAGATTTGATGTTCCCACATCCATCCCTCCCCCAAGGTCATGTGACTGTATTTTGGGTGCTCAGCAACTGGTCCTTATTTATGGCTGTTTGCAGAGTCCCACAGTCACGTGACTGTGATTTATGACATTTTTGACAGAACCCTCTTTTACTTCCAGTTTCTGGCAAAAAACACCCAATGACAAACAGTGGGTTCATTTAATAAATGCAGCATTGCTTAACAACCGCTACAAAAAATTGGGCATAGTCACAGGGTGATCTTCTTTACAACCCTCATAATATACGACCAAATTGCAGGGTCAATTATGGTTATTAATCGAGGAGAACCTTTAATAATAATTTATTAAACTTAAATACTGCCCAATTCCCAACAATTTGGGGCAGCTCACAAGAATCAAAGAAATTACAATAAATCAATAAAAGATGGCAAGCATTCAGACCAGATGGAAAGAAGCAAAGAGTTTCATTCTCTCTCACCAAAAACATGGATGAAGACCCAGGTCTTCATGGCTACTTTGAACAACAGCAGAATCTAGATCTGGGAGAGGGGAACCTCACTGCAGAGGGCAGGCATTAACACAGAGAGAGAGAGAGCATACTTCCAGGGTCCTAATAGACGACATTATTTAACTAAAGGTACCAAGAACATGCCAACATTGCAAGATCAAATTGGCCAGGCAGATACTATGGAGACAGATGACCCCTAAAATAAATGTCCTCTAATGAGGCCAATGCAGGCTATTTTAAATCTATTAAGCACAGTCAGTAGTTCTCACAGTCAAGTACTGTAGCTGCTGACTAGAAATGATCCCTTTTCTGCTGGGAAGAATTTAGACAGGGACTAAAAGGCAAGTGGACAAGGACCAGGAGACTTTAAAAAGAACTTGAGACCAGATGGGAAATCCCTATAGACTGTATTTGGCCCATAGTGAAAACTGGATGGATCCTGAGCCACAATCAAGTAGTGCCCTTATGATATTACCAAGGAAGAGAAGTGTCTTCTTCCCTTCCCAGTTGTCCACTGAGATAAGGAATTTATACAAGCCACAATATTCATGGTACAGTACCTGCATTCATATCAATCAATTGTTCTCTCTTCTTTTGCTTTTCTTGACGTTCTTTCTCTGCTTTTTCTTTTGCTAGTTTAGCTCTGCGCATCTTCTCCTCCATCTCACGCCTTTTCTGATTCTCCTTCACACCTTGCTAAAAATAAGACACAGGTGATAAGATATACAAATGGAGAGTCATAATAATGAATTTGCTGTGTTGTTATGATATGCATATTGTACTTTTCATTTAGCAGAATAAAAGAATGCAATGCTGGCTACCATGCAAGACAAAGTAAGTAAACAGTGATGAGTTTATGAATGATAGATTTATTTACTACTTTTATCCATAAAAATTAATGGAATCACAAAATATACAAGTAATGTATCCTTGAGAACCAAATGCTGGAGGAGATATCTAACATATTTACCTAAATTTATTTTTATTTTACTCAAATAAAAATAGGAACATTAATTTCACTACAAATATTTTGTTTAAATACAGCCCTACCTCAATAAGCTCTCATCTATATACTATATTTCTCTATAATCTACTTCTCTGGCTTACATTATTTTACAACACAGCTTTTAAAGAAATGTTTTGAGTGTTTAGACTTATAATGGATATTGACATACTTTTATGGAACTTGAATGTATTTAGCAATATTTGTTGTCTGCGTAAGTACTGACCTATTTTTCAAAATTTTGTCTTTAGCAGTCCAGCACACTGAACTGATTCCTATCAATATCAACCAGCTTACAAATTACAGGTAATGTTGACAATTATAACCCTATGAATCCTTGGGAAATGAATCCTTTGGTGATATAAAAATATAATAATTAAACAAGCAAGCAAACAAATAGATAACTCAAGTGTGAAAGACCAAAAATACAAGAAAATATAAAAACACAATAGGAGCAAAATATGGAGTGTTTGCAACAGAAAATAGCCACCTCCTCATGTTATACAATTTAAGTTTGTTTCAAAGTATTTTACTTGTTGCCTTGTTTGATGTAAAAAGTACAGCACAAATAAAAAGGTGCTCATATTGTAATTAAATATGTAATACAAAATTACATATTGTAATTAAAACAGATGCTCACCACAAACATATTTTTGAAATTGCGCAGATTTGTGAAAAACTCCTCAATAGATATCTTATTGGTGTCAAAGAGGAAGTATTGTCCTAATTCCCCATAAAGGTTTTCCATATTTGCGTGCATCATTCGTAACTTCTCATACTGTTCTTGGGCTTCCTTAACAAAGCTGTAAGACTAGAGTTAAAGATTTCTAACAAATTGTAAGCAAACTTTCCGAGAATACGTTGATTACTTTAAAGTTGCTAAAAGTTTGGTTTTTTGTATTTTTAGTTTCAGATTCTTATCCCACCCTTTTATGTATAAAGCAATTTGACAAAATAACACCACACAATTAACTAACAGAAATTAAACACAGTACTAATGTAACAAAGCTCTTTTTTGCAAAATAAATTCTGATTAGGTCATTGTGATTCACCTCATTTTTATATTCCATTGACTTCTAGCCATTGGAAAGGTCATTGCTGACTGCAAATAATTTACTTCTCTGACTGCAATTCTTCATAGGGCACAAAGGGAGGACTCAGCTATAGCTGCTTTACCTCAGGGGCCTTTAAGCAATCATAGCTATTTTAAAATTTTAATTTATTGATATGATTGTATCAATAAAGTATTAATTTATTATTAAAGCTATTTTAAACATACTGCAGGTTATTAATTCATAATTTATATATTTTAAAAAGCAAAGTAAAATGATTAAATACAAAAATAAGCAGCCTTTCATTGCAAAAGATCATCTGGGTACTTGCTGCCTAATCTTATCAATAATTATCTGTTGGAATAACATCAAATGTGAGGGCTAAGCACACTCTCTCCAGTTCATTGGGTTCTCTCTGAACACTAAAAGGAACTCATTTCTAGAGGCATGTTCCCCTGCATTTCTGATGATAGTAACACCCTTAATTCATATGTTTTGATAAAGAGTATCCTCTCTATTGGTTTTAATGGCTATTTTTTTCAGAATCCTTTTTGAATCTCCCTTGCAAAGACTGTAATATATAAATGAAGATGCTGTACTCCTGTGATGTCCAGTGCAGTTTTAAAACCATTTTTAAGAAGTTCACCATTCTAATTGATACTTGCACCAGGAAGAAATGCCATCCCAAAGTGAAAAATGCTTCGGGGTGGGGGGGGAGGGGACTTAGGAGAATTCTCTATTACAAGCAAATGTTTCTAGTTATCATCCTCTCAACATTTATAGATGTATTAATGTGTAGGTTTGTGTCTCTGCAAACCATTATACTACAACATTCGGTAATTGAATTTGTGGTAGGAACTCCATCCCTTCATATTGTATACTTAGAACATAGAATAATTTGTTTACCATCTTCCAAATTCTTAAAATTGTTTTATTCTAGATGACTTATTTTGATAAAAGAAGGAAAGAGCACTTGCAGCAAAGATGGGCACATTGTGTAAAATCCAATAACCACTCAAAATAAATAAGCAAACCAGTTACAGATAAGGAATCTATTGTTATTTATCAACTTCATTCCTCTCTATGTATCACTCACATTAGAGTGTAGCAAAATTACCTAGGAGGTGAGCCAAGAAGCCCTCAACAAAAGATGTCCCAACCCTTTCTAGAGCTTTCTAAAGATACATCTTAGAAATGTAATACGCATCTTTCAACAAATTTTGGAGAAATTGTTCTTGTGAAAATGACTTAGATGGGAGGCACATATGAGAGGCAAGATAGCCTACTGAAAAAATGTTGCCAAGCCAAATTTTAGCCCTTTAAAAGAAATTACTTCTAAATTCATAAAGCAAGATAAAAAGTGAGCAAATCCTCTTTCGCTGTTGGAAGAGTGGTAGAAAGCAATGCCCTGATGTAATGAGAAACAGATATTAACCTTCTATACTAGAGTAATTTTTAATCACAATGTCATTTTGTCTCATGATTACTAAATCTAGAGGGCAAAATGTTTGCCACTCTGCGACCACTACCAAAAACAAATTTGTGTAAACAACCAAAGTGAAATGGTAGCCAGTAATCAAGTGATTTATATGTTATGTTAAAAATCACTCAAAATCTCAAGTGAGGACTTAATTATGGTGTTTCAGGATGTAATTTGTGCAATTTTGCCTAGTATCAATTAACTACAGGATTATAAACTAAAAAGGGGACATGGATGTATCTAGGGGACAGGATTTCTGTGGGTTCAACTATGGAATATTTTGGAAGAATAGGGTACACAGGTGCAACCCCGGATGTATACAGACCATGGCAAATAAGCTTTATTTATTCATACCTGGTTCTTCTGCCTGCAAGTTACCCAAAGAGACATCAGGAAGAGTTATACACTTTGTGCTTTCAACTGTTTGAATGGGAGACTACTCAAGGACACAGTATCAATAAATATATGTCACTCGCTAAGGGTTCCTATTACTGTCATTACCTTGTGAAAAATGAAACAACTCCTCTTTTGGTACAGTGTATCTTTCTAATACTACTAAAGTATGTCAATAAACAGTGATATATTAATGCCACTTTAAGAACCTTAAAAGACAAAATTTGCTGAACTTTATAATGAAAACTAGGATTCTCAGAAAAAAATAATACAAGAATGGGAATTCATTATTCAAAGTCTGGTAATACTTGCATTAGTAAGTACCTATACTGATAGCGTTAGAGAACTTGGTTTTTCTAACAGCTGATCTTTGCAAACATCCCGCTGCTGAGCAGTTGCTCAGTGTTTTCCTCATTCTAAAACCAGTGATTTTGTCCCTCAGTATCATAAATAAGATTCTTTCTTTCATAGGTTATTTTCAACATTTCTCAGTGCACATTTTTGAAGGATATGGCCATTTTCTCCACAAATTTGTCCTTCTCTTCTGTACTACTGGGGAAATTGTTAACATCATGCTGTAGATCTGAAATCTGTTTGTTCATCTGGTCCAGATTTTTCCGCAAAATTTCAGCAGAAACTTGGGGAAGAAAAAGAGACAATACAGCAGAATTGCAGAAACAATTAACGTCAGCTAAAAGAATAGTTTTTATTTACTGTAGTCACATTCTCTAGGAAGCCAGCAAGTATATTCCTTGGACTACCTGCTTCTCTTAATTGAGAAGGGTTAGTCTGATTAATATTACTTCATGGGACAGTTTCTATTTGTGTTCAAGTTGAACAGGAAAAAAAAACTTAGGAAAGCTAAAAAAAAACTTACAGAAGTGAGAAAAAAGTAGGGTTATGCTCTAATTTGGTATAAAATCAAAATCTGATTTAAAATGGGGTAATATAAAGTATATATTTCTAACTTGTCTTATTTCCAATTCTCCAATGCTCCTCAACTGCTTGGGGAGGAAGAAGTATTGAATTCATGGATTTCAAGGGCAAACTTCAAAGTCATTGGAAGTTAAGCAGCATACAAATTTAATAATAAATAAAAATAAATGGTGAGGTGTAGGAAATTAAAAGGTTTTTTTTTTGGAATGACAAGAGATCTTTAAATGAGTCTCTTTTGATAGTGAGATAGGCAGCATATAAATTAATTAAATAAATCCCAGCTATACTATTTGTATGCTTTACAAAAATCACAAGCCGGGGCAGAAGGCAATACATAGTATCAGCAATCTGCTGATTCACTGAGGAGGCATAATCAGTCTGCTGTTGTAGCAGCAAAGATAAGAAAGCCTGGCAACAATGGCAAATGTCAGTTGCAGTACAACAAAGGCAGTGCACATAGTCCCTTCTTTTCAACCTATTCTATATCAAACCATGCAGACTCCCTTGTGTAACCAGAGGGACAAATATGAATTCACAGAATTGTGACTTCAGAACTAGCATGCACCATCCACATTGATTAACTAGGATATTTAAAGAACTGCATATTCAAAAATACTGTCCCATTAATATATATGCTCAGGAATGCCAAAAAAGTTGGTTGTATGTGACTCTTGGCTTAAGAGCAGTGTTTGTCAGTGAGAAAGTGCAATAAAGTGATGGATTATATCAGCAAAGGCCTGGAATTAAAGGCAACAGCATTTATGACAGGAAGTTATATAATTCTACATATACTAGATTTTTGCAGTCATTAGCACTGATCATTTCCAAAGCTAAAATAATAATGCTATTTAACATTTGAATATTGTTTTCAGAGCATTCAAGACACTAAAAAACACACCTGTAATCCTAGTAACACACCTGTATATATTGTAAACAGATAAAAAATGAAAAAGAGAGATAAAAACTGACTTGGCTAAGAATATCTAAGTTGTATTACAGCTTTAGGTTATATACCACTCTCAGCATAAAACAACATGACTGAGATTTAGGAATAAGCTTATTTCACTGGGCTTAGGTGGTCAGATAAAATCTGGACCAGGGGGGGATACTTGCAGGAAAAATACATGATTATAAGTAAACAGATCAAACATAATTTTTCTTCATCATAGTCCAATTATAAATTACTATAACAAACATCTGCAGCTATCATTTTTATATTTTCCTCTCCACACTTCCTGCTATGACAGACACTAAGTCCAAACATAGATCTAACATTTCTATCAGGAAAGAAAATAACAATGGAAACAGGAAGGATAACAAAATAGAATGATGCAAACCCGCAGAGAAGATTTTACTCCTGCTCATTCCATATATATGAAGAAAGCAGAAGCTGAAATTCTGTTTTCATAGATAACGAACTATATAGTTCTGACCGAAGCTGACATTACAAATATCATCTAAAAATAATACACACCTGTACTCCCCAAATGAATATCATTTGCTTTCCCCACACCCCAAAAAGGAAATAGTCTGAAACTGATCTGGGCGTACTTGCCTAGTTGAAGAAGTGAACGAGTTGTGACTAAGGATCTTCATAGTGTTATGGCACTTTTTTTTCTTTGCTTTTAAGAGTTTATTGTATTATTTGACTGGTACAGCTTCAATGATTTGAACATACTATTACATTTGTGTCAGAAATACCTACCAAAGCACTTCCGGATTAAAAGGATTAGTCGGTGACATTATAGTTGCCCAGGGGATACCCAAGAGGGCTCCTTTATATCTCTGTTATTTTCCCACTGAAGTGGTATCTATTCATCTACTTGAATTTACATGCTTTCAAACTGTTAAGAGAAAAGGAGCTGGGACAAATTGTTGGGAACTCATTCTGTCATGCAGCTCATGTTATTGGATCTAGAACTGCCAAGCTGTACACCTCTCATTGATCTTTTGACTCAGCATCCTAACCACAAGAGTCACCACAGCCTGATTTAAACATAAAAACTGCCATTTGTGGAGCTCTGTTGAATTTAGCTGTGCAATGGCCCCATCAAATCCCAGTTCAGAGGAGGAGGAGGAGTTGGAACCAGGGATGGCCCATCTCCCCTGGAATGTCTGGAGAGCCCAGGAGCTGAGGATGATGCTGTCCCAGGCCCCTCTGGCATTGGGGGAGGTGGTTCAATCAGATGGGGAAATGCCTGCCCTCACAAACATAGGGGAGGATCGGCTGCAGGCAGGCAGTGGTGATGAGAGGCAGCAGATTCCCTTTGATGGGAAACAGCTGCCTCCCCCACACGATCAGAGGGCATACAGAGAATGGAGTGGAGAGAAGCTCAAAGGAGGTCTGCAAGGCTGCTGGTGAGGCCGCCGCCCCACTCCTCCTCCTCCCAAGGAAACCTGGCTTGAGATGATTTAATCAGGGGAGGGTGTCTTCGTTGGGAACAATTGTTCTGCTTTGGCACACACTTCCCTGGCCTTTTCAAACTCTGCTTTGGATCATATTTTTGCCCTGTGAACTCTTGCTTATGGACTATGGGCCTTGCCTTTTGGACCTTGAACCTTGTTTATGACTTATGGACCTTGCCTTGTGGACTTTGCACCTTGTTTTTAGACTATAGACTTCCTCCTTGCCTTGTGAAATGAGCTCTGGAGACTTTTGGCTTTAGTTTGTGGGATTGTGTTGCACTGATTGTGGGTGGCTGTCTTCGGGAAAGTTTGGGGTGGAACTTTACTGGCTGTTGTAGGGCCATTTGTTGTGGGATAGCAGTGCAATAAAGGACTTTATTGAAACCTGCATCTGCCTAGGTGGCCTGGTCATAACTGACTGAGTCAACATTAACAGTCAGCAAAATTATTTTAAGAGATAGAAAATAGAACAGAATAGAATAGAATTCTTTATTCTATTGTCTCTGGTTCTTAAGCTCAGTGTACATATAAACAAATAATAGGTCATAATAGATTATAAATCATAGTTACAATCATTATGATTCTACAAGATGTAGAATCAGAGAATCATAGACTGGAAGGGATCTTGAAGGACTTCTAATTCAACCCCCGGCCCAAGGCAGGAGACCTTACCATCCCAGACAAATGGTTGTCCAACCTATTCTTGAAAACCTCCAGAGATGGAACATCAATAACATCAGGATTAATTGATTAATTGTTCTGTCAGGAAATTTCTCCTTAGTTCCAGGTTGGATCTCTCCTTAACGAGTTTCCAGCCATTGCTTCTTGTCCTGCCCTGAGGTTCTTTGGAGAATAAGTCAACCCCCTCTTCTCTGTAACAGCCCCTCAAGTACTGGAAGACAGTTATCACATCACCCCTAGTCCTTCTCTTCATTAAGCTAGGCATACCTAGTTCCCTTAATTGTTTATCATATGGTTTAGCCTCTAGAGCCCTTATCATCTGTTGCTCTTTTCTACACTCTTTCTAGGGTTTCAGCATTTTTTTTTTTTATTGTGCCAACCAGACCTGGACGCACTATTCCAAGTGTGGCCTCACTAATGCAGTATAAAGCGGTACTATCACTTCTTGTGATCTTGATGCTATCACTCTATTGATGCAGCCCACGACTGCATTGGCTTTTTTGGCAGCTGAAGCACCATGCTAGCTGGTTCATTAGATTTACTATAAACCAGGTACCATCTATTCTATATGATTTGATTTTTCCTGCCTAAGTGCAGGTCCTTAATTTTCTTACCACTGAATTGCATCTTGTTGGCTAGGCCCCAATGCTGAAGTCTGGCAAGGACCTTCTGAAGAGTGCTAGTAAAGTCTATCAATATATCAGTCTCAGAAATCTTGGATTCTTAGATACTAGATTATGTCCCTTGTTTATTGATCTAAGAGGGGAGCTATTGTATTGCACTGTCATACTAAATTCATTATGCATAACTTTCAAAGATTTCAAAATTTGGGGAAGCATAATTGTGTCAGATTTGAATTCAATATAATGCAGACACAAGCAATAGAACAAAATCAAACTATTGATTTCAGTTGATTTCAACAAACGTAGAGAGAGATTGGGAAAGATTCTCTGGATGAAAATCTTTAAAAAAATCTTTCAGGGACACTCTGAAAAATGTGATTATAAATTCCAGTGCAGCACAGTACCACTGAAAAAGAAAAATAATAAGAAGATCCAAGCTAAATCATATGAAGAACGGTTGCAGGAATTGGGTATGTCTAGTTTAAGGAAAAGAAGGACTAGGGGTGATATGATAGCAGTGTTCCAATATCTGAGGGGCTGCCATAAAGAAGAGTGGGTCAATCTATTTTCCAAAGAACCTGAAGGCAGGATAAGAAGCAATGGATGGAAACTAATCAAGGAGAGAATCAACCCAGAACTAAGGAGAAATTTTCTGACAGTTAGAACAATTAATCAGTGGAATGACTTGCCTCCACAAGTTATGGGTGCACCAACACTGGAGGTTTTTAAGAAGAGATTGGACAGCCATTTGTCTGAAATGGTATAGGGTCTCCTGCTTGAGCAGGGGGCTGGATTAGAAGACCTCCAAGGTCCCTTCCAACTTGGTTATTCTGTATTTTCAATTTAATTTGGCATATTTTGGTCAAAGGTTTATAAGAAACTAGGAAAAAAACAAGAATTGGTGGGAGTTGAAAATATTTTGATTCATCATTAACAGCACCTGAAAGAGTTTCAAATAGTATTCTGAACAGTATTACAAACAAAATACCTATATGGTGACCACAAAGTAAAGCTGTTTGTTGCAATCTTAAAACACATACACATGCCAAACAGTACCTTGACAAGCTTTCTCCACATGGATGAGTTCATCAGGAAAATTCAGGATATCTGGATAATGCAGTTCACATGTTTCTGCCAAGAAGTGAAGTAAGGTCATCTTCTGATCAGTTGACTTTGTGTCACGAAGCTAGAAGATATGAACAAGGCTACTGGTGAACAATGCACAAGAAGATGATTATTTTTTTATTCCTCCCCAGGCTTTTCTCCTCATATTTACCTTGCAAAGGAAACTAATGTTGAATCCAAAGGCACCAGCATTCATGGAGCCAGAATTCATGTAGTTGCCCACAAGTAGGATAATGGAAAGAAGACTACCAAAGTTCTCACTATTGCGGAGTTCCTCACAGGCTGCTGTAACAGCAACAATATCTGGCTTTATATTGTCTACCTGTTCATTAAATTGTAGCTTGAAAAGTATAGCATTGAGTCTTGATGGCAGACGGGAAACTGAACTAATCTGTGAAGAAAAAGAGACACGGTCACACAAAAAGGAATAGGAATGAGGATAACAGCTTAAGGGAAAGAACAAAAGAGATCTGAGCAAGAGAAGACCCACAGAAATACAATTTACCAAATATGAATTCATTGATTACTATGTAGTAATGTAAGCAACATGGTTGAAAAACATCTCTTTATGACATATATATATATAGTGTGATTCCCCAAAAATATTAGATGGCTTTAAGGAATTTGCAAATCCTGGAGTTACAAAAATTCAGACAACTGCTAGATAGAAAACTTTTTTTTGCCATCTAGTCATTGTCCTGATTTTGCCACTGAGATCTAACAGCCCTAGTAAAACCTATATATAGAAACAAATACATAGCTTTTCCCAGTTGTAATTACAAGAGAATGGAATGGGCAAGAATGGGAAGTATCAATTTGTTGCTATATTTGGAATGAGAGTGTAGAAGATAGACAAAAATACTTTACTGTTTCCTGTCCCAAACCCACAGCAACTAAAAGTTTAAAAATCTAATCTGAGAAAATTTGCAGTAGATAGTCCTCGAGTTACGAGTATAATGGAGACTGCTCATTCCACTCGTAACTCGAAAACTCGTAGAGTGAATATCGTTCGAGGTACGAGATCACTCCCTTGCTCATTAAAATGTACTTGGCTCGTTAAGTGAACATGATGTATTTCAAGGTGGTGAAGGCCATGGAGGGCCTAATGCTGGAACAGGCCCCCAAGGCTTCCCCGACCCACTAAGATACCGCATGCTTCCCCCTCCCTTCCTGCCACGCCGGATTCACCTGGAAAAGATCGGTCTCCTCTCTGCTGTGGTTCCTGCTGCCGCCCAGATTTGAGGCTGGGGAACGTTTCTGCACCTCCCCGTGGCCCGATCCAGGCTCCAGAGGCCTTTTCCAGGTTGCCGCCCAGATTTGAGTCCAGGGAATGCTTCCGTGCCTCCCCGCGGCCCGATCCGGGCTCTGGAGGCCTTTTCCTGGCCACTGCCACCCAGATTTGAGGCCGCAAAACGCTTCCACAGCCCCCCCGCGGCCCAATCGGGCCTGGAAAGCGCCTCCGGAGCCCGGATCGGGCCACAGAAGCGTTCCCCAGCCTCAAATCCGGGCGGCAGCAGCCTGGAAAAGGCCTCTGAAGCCTGGATTAGGCTGCGGGGGTGGGGGGAAGCATTCCCCGGCCTCAAATCTGGGCAGCAGAGGCTTGGAAAATGCCTCCGGAGCCCGGATTGGGCCACAGCGGGCACGGAAGCTTCCAAGGGCCTGATCCAAGATTTGGAGGGGTTTTCCTAGCTGTCTGTGCCAGGAACAGAGATTGGGAGGGCTTCTGCATGCCTCCGGAGATTGGATCCAGCTTTCAGAGGACTGCCCAAAGCTGCTGCCGCCTGGAATGGAGGTCCGGAAGCATGCAGAAGCCTCCCCCCATCCTCTGTTCCTGGTGCAAATGGCTAGGAAAACGCCTCCAAGACTTGGATCAGGCCCTTGGAAATTCTGTTCCGGGTGGCAGCAGCTTGGAGCAGTCCTCCGAGGGCTGGATCCAACCTCCAGAGGAATACAGAAGCCTCCCTTGGCCTCCGTTCTGGGCTGCTTGGAGGAGGACTCCGAGGCTCTGGGGACAACAAGGTCACTTTCTCTCCCTGCGTGGCGAGCTTTGGCGGGCTGGATGCGAGGGGCCTGGCCTTCTCCCTCAGTTGAAGGCTTTGGGCTTGCCGTCAGGCAGAAAGGAGTTGGGGCCAGGAGCAGGAAACAGGCACCTTTTGCATAGAGAATGAAAGTTTCTGAGTTCTGTGATTTGGCGCAACTTCAAACACTCGCGCGAGATCATGGACTCCAGAAACTTCCATTCTTAGTGCAAAAAACATTTCCAAGCCGACTCTCCTCTCCCTCAAAGGGAAATAAACCACGACAGAGAGGACTTTTGCAAGGTAAGTGAGTCCTGGGTGGAAGGAAGGAAGGGAGAAGCAGTTGTGAGGAGTGGGAAGGGGAATATGTTGCAGTGCCACTGAAGTCACTCATAAGGGCGAACGACTGCCTTGGTGCTGCAATATTTGTAACTTCAGGACTTGCTAATAAGCACTAAGGGGTGCTCATCACGTAACTTCGAACGAGCGTTAAATGAACGCTCGTAACTCGGGGATTACCTGTACTTACTCAATGAATTTGATATAAAATAATACTTCGAATATTTTCAGAATAGGAAAAAATAGTATATGAATGATTGGAAAGACCTTGACTGAGTTCAACAATGATGGTAGTGCTCTCTTCTCAGATAAAACCTTATTGTGTTTTATACTGGCCTTTAGAGTATGGAAAAAGGGGTAAGAGGAATTGAATTCCTAGCAGATATGAACAAAAATGATTTAATGGACATTAGGGAAATATTGTGGAACAGCTCTGATGACTGGAATATAAGAATGAACATAGATAACAACCGCTGCAAGTAGGCTGGTCCTTCAAATCACTCCAGGGAAAGAGAGAATGGGAAATCATCTACAACTGCTCTGAATGGTAGCTCATGAGAAGATCATAAAACTTTCATGAAATTAAGCATGAGGAGCCAAAAGAGATTACATTTTTGCTCTCAGTAAAATCTTTGCTCTTTGCTCTCAAAGCCTTTCATAAGGATAGTAAACTATCCAAACCCACTTTCTAATCACATTCAGAAATATTCAATTTAACCACCTTATTGATAGTAGAGATATTCAAAATGGCAAGCTTAACTTGACATCTGGGTAGTTTTACCTTTTTTGAATTTAAGAAATTTTGAATAAGAATTTAAAGTAATACATAACTGGCGAAAACCAAATAAAATAAAATAAAATATTTTGATTTAAGAAATTTTCAATGGTTTGGGAGAGAGATCTTATTTTTGCTGTAAGATTTGAAAACCAAATATATAATTAAATAATGTATTTATGGAAAATAACTGGAATGCAACTACAGGTAGCCCTCGACTTAAAACAGTTCATTTACTGACCGTTCAAAGTTACAACAGCACTGAAAAAAGTGACTTATGACTTTTTCACACTTGCAGTCATTGTAGCATTCCCATAGTTAAGGTGATAAAAATTCAGATGCTTGGCAACTGACTCATATTTATGACAGTTGCAGTGTCCCGGGGTCATGTGATCATATTTTGCGACCTTCTCACAAGTAGTCAATGGCGAAGCAAGATTCACTTAACAAATGCGTCACTACTTAACAATTTCAGTGATTCACTTAACAACTGTGGAAAGAAAGGTTGTAAAATGGGGCAAAATTTACTTAACAAATGTCTCACTTAGCAACAGAAATTTTGGGCTCAATTGTAGTCATAAGTTGAGAACTACTTGTAATCCCATAATTAGTAACTGAGGCTTGATGAAGGTTGTAAATGGACACTAGAGGGAAATAAACAACCAGGCAGAAAATGAGTTAAAATGGTTAAGCTGGCTATAACTTTTTCTTGTCTTAAAACTGAAATATTAATAATAGAATGGATAGATTTCAATAGACAAACTTTTAGAAGATGAGAAAAACTACACACATTTATCTTGGATATTATAGTTTGAAGACATGGAAAACAATAAACTTGTGATTACCAAAATGGAAATACAAAAAACAAATTAAGGATCTGAACATGGAATAGCTGCAACAAGAAATTCTAGACAATGCCACAATGGGAAGAACAGAACATGCAGCAACAAATTCTGGATGATACTTCTTTATGGGATTTATAAGTTGGCTGGTGAAAGCTCTGAAGACTCCTTTCAAATGCCAAAAAGTGATGAAAGGTCAAATCCTATGATACCATAATAAAGATTTAAAGGTCAAAACTGTGCAGAGTAAAAAGAAGGAATATAATGTTGGACTACTTGATCAGGGATATTTCTGATAATTAATAATGGACTTTTTGCTAAACTAGAATTGAAAAGATGATTTCTGGATTGTGTATCCCTAAAAGTTAGGCCTTGGGGAAAAGAGTTTTCTTATTTGTAAATTTAAAAGGATGAACATATATTAGTTTATGTTTGGTGTGAAAAAGGCTTGATGCCATTTCTTTCTTATTGCCCATATTGCCCTTTTCTTTCTTTTTTTCTACTTTTTTTTCTTTTCTTTTTTCTGCACCATCTGGATTTTTTTCTTCTAGTTTCTATTATTTTTTCTCTGTTTATTAAAAACTTCAATAAAATTATTAACAACAAAGGGATATAAGAACTGAACAATGCACACAAATAATGCAAAAGGAAGAGAACTTGTAAGTATCTACTGCTGATTCAGAATCCTACAATAAATAAACTCAGCAAGATTATTGAGGAAATCAGGGTTAAAATAAGAGGAGGCATATATTTAAAAAACATCATTATTGATGTCTAATACTGCCATCCAAAAGAGATGATGATGCTTCCAGAAACATGCCACACATGGTCCTTCTAAGAAATTCCTGACTTGTCCTGCTGATAATTTGCTTTTTCAAAGAGTAAGTAACATACAAGTGATCAGCTATCCTTAAATCAATGCTAACCAACTGAGATGACTTAATTAAGAAAAAGGAAGGAGCATGAATGCTGGCTGGAAGTGACAATATAATACTGGAGATATTGATTTGAAGGGAAATTAAACCCAAGTATCAGGAAAGTGGATTTTAACAACCAGAGATAAATTATAAGTAGAATTTAAAGCTGGATGATATGTGGTAGGAATTCAGGAAAATACAATAAAATTACAATAGCAAAAAATCCAGAGGAGAAGCAGGAGGAAGAAGAAGCAGAAGGTGCCAATAAGGTAGCACAAAAAACTTAATTGAAAATCTAAAATAAAAAATGACATGAATAGAGGGTAAAAATCAAGACAGGTTACCAAAGAAAAAATACAGGTAGTTTGGAATTGTAGACATGCAATCAGAAAAAATAAAATTCAGAATGATTTGAGTTTGGCAAAGCATTCGGTAGATCAGCGGTCCCCAACCCCGGACCATGGACCAGTACTGGGCTGCGACATGCCAGCAACCGTCCA